AGTCTTTGGTTGTTTCTTCACAACTTGCACAATGTTTCTGTCAACAACTGCTGTTGTTACCCGTGGCTGACCTGTTTGATGTCTTTTGCTCAGTACACCAGTAGTTTCTTTCTTTTTCAGGACATTCCAAATTGTTGTACTGGCTATGCCCAATGTTTGTGCAATAGCTCTGATTTTCCGATTTTTTGTGTTGTGTTTTTTCATTTTTAACATTTTATTTTTGTAAAGCAGCAATTACTGCAATGAAACAAAATGACATGACAGACTGGAACATAAGGCTGCAATGAACCAATCTGCAGCTGATGAGGAGCTGTGGTTAGATGTATTTCTAAGCAATCCACATTTTTTTAAGTCAGTTATGCATGATGATTCCCCAAACTAATGCAACTAGATCCTGACCTGACCCTAGTGTCCCTGTCTCCGGTATTGGTATAGGACATGATAATGATGGGACATGAAAATGTTGTATTAAACCATCTCTACCACTAACCTGCCTGTATCCAAAAATAGTTGCATCTTGGGCAACTGGACGAAGCAGGTTTTCGTTTTTGAAGACAAATTGACTATGTTGGAAGAAGGAAGCCATCTACGTCAATCTGGAGAAATCATCTCTCAATACATCAACATTCACACCAGTCATGGATTTACTTGCAAAGCAGATGAACCAACCACACTGTTTCCATTTAATTTAAATATGTCTTCTTTGAAATTTAGGTTTGGCCTTGTACATTTAATTCAATTTACTTTACATTCTCCATCCATCTGATATGGGTTAGCATCAGAGCCCACCAGTCAAACCTTTGACCTCATTGTTATGCCAAAATGTTTGCACAAGCCCTGGTCTGACATAACAGGGTTGTTTTTCCTCCAGTCTCTGTCAGACCTTTTATATAAAAAAATGATTGGAGATTAACACTCAGCCTCATTCTGCTTTTCTCAAAGAAAACACAGTGCTGTCTATCACCCTGACCTAAATATTAGACCATACTGAGGCTGACAGACCACACACAGAAAAGAGTGATATGTATGATCTCATCATAAGGAGAGTTAGGACTTGTTTATGATGCCTGCTTTATAAAGAATGAGAAGATCAACACATCCATGTTGATGGCTGTACAAATAATATATGTTGTTTCTAGTTACAGGAGACCAGGTTCAATTCCCAGATGGGGAGATTGTATTTAATTGGTAATTTCACCAAAAATTACGCAGTTGCATAGGGTCTCACAGCCTATACAACAGCTCTATTCCTAAGTCAAAGCTGTAGTGAGTACTGTATAAACCAGTCACAGCTCATATTCAGCCTGAGGCTGGAAAAGAGAGAGTAAGAGAGAGAGAGAGAGATGAAGAGAGAGAGAGAAAGAGAGAGAGAGAGAGGTAGAGAGAGAGAGAGAGAGAGAGAGAGAGAGACACCTGGGTTTGATTGGATAGTTGACATTGACAATCTACTGATTTTGGACCTTTTCCAGAAGCCAACACAGAACTTCATTAGCAGCTCGTCATGTTGCATCTGTCCATCTCTCAGTGCACGTGCCGTTCATCCCACGTTTGCACCACTTCTCTCCTCCCATCTCCCCATTCCTTCGCTGTCCAATCCCAAAGCTGGCCTTGACTTCAAGAAGGATACGAGGTATGGCCGTATTGTTGGACGTATCAGGAAAATGTCAACACACAGGGGTGCAATCCATCAACAGGAAATTTTGGCTGGACTTAAATAAATGGAAGGGGTGGGCCGGTGGAGGGGAGGGGTGTTTCGCAATAGTGGGTATAGATGTATTTAAATGGGTCCACTAATGTTGCTCTCAAGGCAGCTTTAGAGATGAGATTGGACCATGTACCCTTGAGCAAGGTCAGAATAGCAATGAGTCTGAACATAAAGCATCTCTAATGTACACAAGGGTGGATTGGTGGTGGGAGTGGAGGACAAGGTATTGCAGATGAGGGAGAAAGTGGAAGAGGAGAGAGGGCAACATGCATTAAATTTGTGTGTTTACTAAAACACCTAGCTTGCAAAAAGCCCATTTCAAAATCTAAAAATTAAAAACAATTAAAAAACATTTAAAGGCAATTGTTTTGAATAGATTATTTAAAAAATAACCAAAAAGGTAGCTGATTTATCAAAAAACTAGTTTTATTTTTCTAATAATATTAAAAACACGTTTTTAAAAAAGAAAAAAAAATAGTTATCACACCAGTAGTGAGTCCTGCTGAGTGACTTGGAACATGAATCCGTCTGTGCAGTAAGAAACAACTGTTGTGAAGCTGTGAATCATGAAGCCTCACCAAACTCCCTTCTTCTCAAACCAGATTTTACTGCAGTCTCTAGATTAAATGAATGTCTCCAGACAGTCATCATTCATCGTTAGTTCCTTTAGCATCACTGTCATCAATCATCTGCAGAGTTATGACCATGAACAGTTTATACAGAGTAAGGTGTTAGATGTTAAACTGAACAACTCTGGTGTCATTTCATCATCCTGTCCGTTTTTACAGTTTATGTGATCTACAACTTTCTGTTCTCTGGTATAAAAAAAGATGAACTATAAACTATAAAGTCAGAATGCATATTTAGTGAGTAAACTAAACCTACCTTCTGTAGCAGAAGGTAGTGACAGGGACTAAAAGCTGTGCTAGGGAACAACAACGATGTGCATTTCCACCAAAGGAACCATAACCAGGAACATGGGACTTTATTTTTTTATACAGCTGTTAAAATAAACAAACAAAAAACATAGACATGTACTACTCAGTATGTTCAGGTCAACTCTCCATGGTAGTTGAGAGACCTGCAAACTGGATATATCCATATGACTTTTACTGCAACTGAAGAAGATACACAGCAGTACTTGGTACCAACATGTACTACTCACATTTAATCAATCTGAAATTCTGAAATCTATCTGAAACATGTATTTTTCTCTTCTTTGCTGCAAAAAATATAAACGACGATTAGCATCAGCATCATAATTTGTCTTTCAGTGCCTACAGCAACAAACTTAATCACGGGAGAGAGTTTTAGACCGATGTCACTGTGGCCAATTGTCCACCATAATTTTAATTTTAAACTTTATTAAAATAAAATTTATGATGACTTGCTAAACAAGAAGAAAATGTTCTTTTCGTATATGTTTTTCTTCATAGTTTTTTATTGAATAGTATTTTCTGAATACTTAATACCAGGCTCAAGACTTTGGTTAAAGTTTAACCGTCTTCACAACCTAGTTTACGGAGGGCTGGAGTTTGGATTTGAACCGCTTTTTATTTGTCCTTCAATTGAGACCTTTTTTGGAAAGTCAGAACAAGGGAGGGGAGAATGTATGTTTTGTTCAGGGAAACTGTGATGTTCCAACAATACCTTCACTGTTCTACTGATAAGTTCTGCAGCAGACTAAAGTTTGTGTGTGTGTGTGTGTGTGTGTGTGTGCGTGTGATGATGCTTGAATGAAATGATGTAAAGGATTTTCACTGTGGGAGGCAAACAATAGCAGTAAGAAAACACAGCTGGCTGCTTGAACTGATCTCCCAGGAGCTGCAGGAGAGAGGAGAGAACTAAGATGACAGGATGACGGGTAAAAGCAGTTTAGTAACAAGTAGGTAAGAAGTACACACACACACATTTATGAAGGTGTGTGTGTGTTAACTATGTCAGTGCAGTCAACAGACACAGCCACGGAGAAGTTAATTTCTGCCATAAAAGTCTAAATAACTGCAGTGAACACAACAGTTTATATATACATCGGTTCCCACTCCATGACCTACAGTCCACTATCTCAGGTGAGAGCTACAGTCCTGTTCTTTGTTCACTCTTTTCTGCTCTCACTCATGTTTTTATCTCCATGGTTTGACTGTATTGTTGCCATGGAAGCAGGACAGTTTTTTCCTGGAATTGAATATTGATGCTGTATTGATTTTAGTTTCCTCTAAAGAGAATAATACATTGTGGTGATTCTTGGGTCATAGTATCCTGGATCAATGGGACATTGAGTTTGTTTACAGTAGACAGAATTTGCTGTTATTTTTTCCCTCTGATCTGAATAACATAAAAAAAAAAGATTTCCAGAGAGAGAATTTTCCAAAGTGAAGACATTTTTGGCTTTTTCTTATATAAAAGAATGGTCTTTTATATATAAAAGTCCAAACAGCTAAAAGTTTGTGATTTTCATGATCTATTATCTATCTATCCATCTATCTGTCTATCTATCTGTCTGTGTATCTGTCTGTCTATCTATCTGTCTATCTATCTGTCTGTGTATCTGTCTGTCTATCTATCTATCTGTCTGTCTGTCTGTCTATCTATCTGTCTGTGTATCTGTCTGTCTATCTGTCTTTCTATCTATCTATCTACCTATCTGTCTATCTATGTGTCTGTCTATCTGTCTTTCTATCTATCTATCTACCTATCTGTCTATCTATCTATCTGTCTATCTATCTGTCTATCTATCTATCTATCTACCTATCTGTCTATCTATGTGTCTGTCTATCTGTCTTTCTATCTATCTATCTACCTATCTGTCTATCTATGTGTCTGTCTATCTGTCTGTCTGTCTATCTGTCTGTCACATTGATGGTAGAGAAGTAGGACGGACAGCAGGTGGACATAAGGTCATAATGACGGTATAGGAAATAGAACAGTGTTTTGGTTCCAGGAACAGGTGTGTGTGACGTCATCTAGTACCTGAGGTAAGGATAGTATTTTTGGAGAAGTTGGGAAATAGACCACATGGACTTTAAGAGAACAAAAGGCTTAAAATATCCACGATGAAGCAAAGTTACCATGTTACCAAAAAACTCACCTTTGCCTAGGTCCTTCAGGAAGAATGGCCAAGAACTACTGGAATTATTTAACCTAGAGAAGAACAAAAAATTAAAACAAAATATAGCACTGGCAGTTATACACGTTCTAAATTAGTGGAACACAGTCAATATTGGAGTTATTTCCTTAAATTAAAAAATAAATATTTTAGGTTAAGAACAAACACTGGACTGGAACATGACGCGGATTCTTGGTATTTGCTGTGAAAACATGTGCGTCTCTGTGTCACATGGTCATGTGTTCGAACATCAGACGGTATGACATCCACCACCCCAGCACATCATCTGGGTTTTGTCGATGCTCCCTTCACTGGCTACAGCAGTGACCCGACCCGCCTCCACCTGTCCACTGCTGCCTTAAATGGACTCTGTTTCCTTCCTGGGAGCTTCAGTTGGTAGAGGAGGGAAGTCGAGGAGGAGTAAAGAAGAGTCAGAGGAGGAGAAGAGCATCTCTCCACCAACCTCAATCCACATCCTCAGCAGAGCGTGTGTTCTTTACGCGCAGTCTTTTGCCGTAAATATTAAGTCTATTCCCGATCTTCGAACCGTCCGAATCGTGACTTGCTGCTGGATGATTGTTTTTGTGGTTGATTTCATTTTTCATTTTTCATTTTATTTTATAAATGTTTTTCCTGGTTATGAATCTTGGGTATGATCTGCGGCTCCGTCTCTCCTGTGTCGTTTCCACTTCATTATGGGAACTGCAGGATCCAAAACGAAGAACCTGAGGAGTGACGCGATTTCTTCTGTGGCCGCAAAAGTTCGGTGAGTGTGACCCAGCTAAGGGCGATGAAGTCCGGGGAGAAGAGGGGGGAGAGACTGAGGACAGTGGGTCTGCTGGAGGAGGCGAGGCTTTAACTTCTTTACACGCTTCTTCCAGGTGATGCAGTATTTATAGTAGAAAGTACCAAGAACTGAGGTCATAAAAAGTACATTTATGTTTCATTTCTGAAAAACAAAACTGAAATTTGAAGAACTCAAATCACTGAACTGTAGAACCTGCTGAAACATTAGCACTGACATCAGAGCCTTAGATCAGAATCCAGTTATATTCACAATAATTTTTTAGAACAACATTAAATAATTTAAATATCAAAAATAAAAGCAGATGTGTATTGCTTGTGCTTACAGAAAGTTTTTTTTTTTTTTTTTAGATTTTGTTTTTCATTTGCCTAAAAAAAAACAAACATCCATTCATTTTCATCCACTTAACCGTTACCAGGTTGCAGAGGCAGCAGTCTCCATGACCACCACCCAAATCTCACTGCACCGTACCAACCTTCCTGCAGGTGGTGAGTCCACTGGAAAGTTCCAATTGCCCTAACTGGGATTCGAACTTGCCCAGGAGGTGAATCCTGGGGTTCTACACCAATGACAGAGACATAGACTCTGGGCCAATGCGCCACGAAAAAACAAGCAATTTATCTCAATTTCAATCAAACTAAGGATGAAATATAAAATAATATTAAAAAATACAGATGAAAACGTGTAACACAGTTAAAACAGTCAACTGAACAGAAAGTGAGCCCAGCTTTTACACCATTGGCACTTTTCTATTGGAAACATTTCTCCTACGTTGCACTGTGTAGCACTTAAAAAAACAACTTAAGTATAGTCTTTTTTTCCATTGGAACATGGGGATACAACCAAATGCGACCTCTGATTTTAACCCATCACCAAAGTGAACAGAGGGCAGCTTTAAGGGGAGCAGTGAGTGGGGACAGTGCCATGCTCAGAGCACCTCAGTGGTAACTTGGCAGCTGGTGGACTCGAACCTGAAGCCTTCTAGACCCAAATCCGCTTCCTTAACCACCACTGCCCCTGCTAACACTTACTGAGGCATTTTCATGACTCAATAACAAGAGCACACACGCAATGTTGGTTAAATATCCTCAACTAGTGACTTGTGAGGTTTGAATACCTCCTCTGTCCATGGGCTCTTAAAAATGTGGAGAGGCATTCAGAGGTAATTTGCGTCTTCAAGTGTTTTATTAACTTGTTTGTATCTTACCATAAGTCTGCTAAAATGGCTGACCTTTAGAAATGAACTACCAATGAGGACACATTCCGTAACAACGGCTGACAGTTGTGGGGTAAAGTGGTTGCATATCGGGTTGCTGGATTGGTTCACGTGTTTTAGAGCCAGTATGAGTATCTGGCCCAATACTGATACTGGGATGGATGTTGATGCATTCCTAGAAACTGAATTTTTAAGTGAATTGTTTTTTTTTACTAATAGGTTGTGTTTAAGAGAACATCTTCAATGTCAATACACGAGGGTCTCTCCACAGTGAACAAACACATATGTCACACACAGCCCATGACTTCTTCTGTCCCTCCAGCCTCACGCTCGTTTTCCAGCTCAGTCTCCTCACCTTAATGTTGATGTGTTTATCGCCTCACACTCAGCCTCGCCTGCATTTTTACACCTAATGCTTTACGCCTCATAAATCATTGCAGTTGCAGCCAGACGCCCAGACTGGTGCATGTGAGACTGGTGCATCAGAGCCGAGGCCTGAACGTATGCAGATTGTGCCCTCATCAGTGATCATGAGCTGTTCTCCAGTGAAAAAAGACTTTAATGGATCTCAGTGATCCGCAGTTCTTTCTCTGAACTTCAGCTGCTCTGTCTGAGCCGAGATGGGATTAGCTTTGATTCCTAACCTCTCTGGTGATCTAGGCTCATCTGTTGGATGATGACTGAGCAGGAGCTGAGGTGCTTCACTTCTCTCTGACAAATTCAATCACACATTTATGTCTGTGGCAGTGAGTGTATGTTTGACAGCGGCATTATACAATTCTGCTGTTTTTTTAAGGGCAGGCTCCGCATGTTTATTAATTCCATTTTTTAATTCCATTTTTTAATTCCATGATTATTGCTGGTAATAGCAATTCAAGTTTACAGCCAGGTGAAGCAGTAGAGACAGATAAAATCCGTGATTTACATGTGTGTTCATTTCACAGAAAATACTAAGGAAAGAAATAAACCTCAGCTGAAATATTTTCTTTTTTTTTTTCAATTTAGCCTCAGTGGCCCTTGGTTTGAAAAGTCTTATAAACTCTGAGATTGAGCTCATTATACTTTATACACAGTTTTAGAGAATCTGAATACTCGAGGTAACCTTCTCCAGTGTGCCTCAAATTGACTCATTATATTTATTCTAATCAGAGTCAGAAATATATCTGCATTAAAAAGGTGGCTGATATAAAATAGGCCATTCTTATTCTGCTCCATTCTAATGCTAATCTGTGACCAGTCTTCACACTGGTGAGTCATTTGAAGGCACCATGATGATGAAGGAGATGATAACAATGACAGAGTTTGGTAATATACTTTCTTGCATCATACTTCACCCAGCTTTCATCTGGTTTCCTGATTGTTTGGTACTCCTCGTAGTTTCAATTCTTTCATTTTTTGTGGTTCTGGTGACTGCTGCCCCCGCGACTCGGTAATGGATAAGCGGATGAAAATGGATGGATGGGTGCAATGTCCCAATGACAAGTAGTTCACTTTCCTTCCTTTCCTTCCTGGTTCCTGTGTCTCAAACACAGTGAAGACATGTGTAAAAGAGCAAAAAAATGGAACCTAAAAATAAACAAAATAGTTCTGCAGTTAAGATTCTTACAACTACTGTATTTTCCGGATCAGCCAAAAAATGCTTAATGAAGAAGAAAAAAATCTCATATAAGTCGCTCGGGAGTTTAAGTCGGACCAGTTCCTTTTAGCGGCTGTCAGTGTAAAAATAAAAAACATGTAAAATTATATATAAAAATATATAAGTCGCACATGAGAATAAATCACAAACCCAGCCAAAGGATGAAAAAAGTGCGACTTATAGTCCAGAAAATACAGTATATAGAAAGATGGTCTCCACTCCTTCAGCGTCAGTATCAATATCTCAGCAGGGCTGAAGTCACCTTTGAGAGGAAGGGCTCCGCTTCAACACTTTTCTGGCCTTAATAGATTCCACTTTGGTGAAAATGGAATTTCATGGCCTGTTTCCCAGAGGACAGAGTGACCAGAACCAACCCCTCTCCACTCAGCAGCACAAATTAACTGCAGTCATGGTCCACTCCAGTCATGAGCCATAAAACATCTGCCCCCCAAAACACACGCACTCACTCACTCACACACTCTCACACACACCTGCCTTTTCCTCTTAAATGAGCATAAACCATGTCAAATTCACTTGGGGTAAATAAAACCTCAAGCCAAATTTTTAAGTAGTAGTATTTTATATGATGTTAATGGACATTGAAACATCATATTGCATTACAATTCTTACTGCACCCCCCCACTGCAGCTTTCAGCTACTCAGCTCCACAACTATGCTACAACTTACCACCCAACCTCTGTAATATTTACTTTTACTCTCTTTTTATGTCTCACATCAAAACTCACCTGTTAACAGTAGCGTACAGCTAATAGCCACCTACCATAGTACCATTGTATTTTTATTTAATTTCATTGTTTTTAATGTGTGTCACTGTGTCCTTCAGTATTTTTAAAAATAAAATGTATTGTTTCATTTTACTTAATGTTCCAACTATAGAACATGTAAGTATACTTGGCTGAGACAGGTAGTCAGTGTAAGAGCACTAAGCCCAGCCTGGGCAGCAGCAGCAACAGCAGCAACAGCAGCAACAGCTGCCTCCTCCTCATTGATCTGAATCATGATGTTTCTCTAAGTGTACAGTAATCACTTCCCAGTAGGCTATTGAAACACGGAGGCCACAGCGGGGTCAGGACATTAACAAAGTTCCTCCAGAGTTCTTCTTCCTCATTATTCTCTGTCACCTTAAGATCAGTGCAGGTCAGAAGGAACAGTCTGAACAGGAAGAGAACCGTTCTGGTCTGGTCCTTTAACTGCTCTGATATAACCTTTGGGTGACAGTAGTCTTTTTAAGCTCTCAGCATGTTGTTGTAGGGGTGATATTTCCTATCACAGTTTAAACATCTTTCTTTACCCAGTGTGTAGTTGGATTTTGGATCATGTTCAGGCTTTGGGTTGACTTTTCTCGTGGTTTTGTGGTTTTCTTGTGGTTTCTAGTGGTTAAGGAAGCAGACTTGGGTCCTGAAGGCTGAAGGCTCCTGGGTTAAAAGCAGAGGTTGGCTGTGTGCAGTGGTGTGCTGTAATTCACTTTCCTACCTTCCTTTCTTTCTTGGATTGTTTGGTTTAGATAGTTCTTTTCGATATGCTGCTGACTTTTAATGGATGGCTCTCTGTGTTACTGTTATATACAAGTAGAAAAAGCAAAAACAGAATGTATTTCTGTTTTCTGCACCTGATCCTAAAGAAGGTCTTGGTTTGCTGAGCAAAGTTGAGGAAAGAACACTGAGCAGAACCAGGTAGATGTGTAGGTGGAACTGAGCCATCGTCTGACTGGCCTAGAGAACACAGTGAGTGACTGACCCTAAAAGTTCACTAGAGAGTCAGCATCATTGCTGGATATATATATATATATATGTATATATATACATATATATACATGTATATATACATATATATACATGTATATATGTATATATCTATACATATATATATATACATATATATACATACATACATATATATATACTGTATATAATGTGTTACTGTGAGGCTTAGCGTGAGGGTAATGAATGTCCTGACAAGTGAACTCATCAGTCTCACCGTCCGGTGAGTGTTTTTTTCTTTTTTTTCCCAAAACATAACCTACAGTAAAAAGTGCCATCCACCAGGGATCACTCTGTGGCTTCACAGATGCACCATCAGTGGTGAACTTGACCGTAGGCAGATTTTACACTTTGCTGATTTTACTGTATGTGTGTCCTGTACCATAGACTCAATCCACGGGTCCACACACACAGAAGAAAAGACAAGTACGAGGAGTCTAGTGAATAACTGAGCCCTAAGAGCATCATAATAACAACATCTATTTTGAATGGCTCATCTGTTCATCTCTGTCCTCCTCCTTCTCCTCCTCCACTTTCTTTCCGTCATAATCCACTTTATCTGTCTATATCATGAAAACACATTTATATTTCTAATGTAATGTGTCTGCAGCCACAGCAACAGTAGAGGCACTGCACAGCTGGACATTGATTAGCAGGGTCTTAAAATGATCCATTACCCCAGACACTCCCTGCCTATCTCTCATAACCACAACATCCCTTGGCTGCGTTCAGCCCGGTTCATTAAAATGTAATAAAAGACAGATTTCCTCACACTCTTAAGGTCTCCTTTTACTACAGGATTGTTACCAGTAAACATTCTGTAAATTAACCAGTGAAATGTGCAGCTGCGGCTCAGTAGCCAACTCACCCAGCACTTTCCACGTAGGACTTGGCTTTTTCTATTGGACATAAAATATTAGCTATAATTAATCAAAAATATTAATACATTTAAAAAATGATAATATTTAAATTATCCAGAAATAAAAGCAACATTTGAAGAGAAACTGATAAAAAAGATTAAGTATAAATAAATAAGCTCAAAAACAAGTAAGAAATGAAACAGGTAAAACATAGAAAGTTAGCCAAAAATGTAGGACAAAAAACAATAATCAACAACAACCACCTAAGTATAATAAAGTGGTTTGAAAAAACTACTCATATTGTTAACCTGTAAAGTGGAACATTAGCTCGAGGAATCAGAGTGGTGAAAAAAACATTTCCATTCTCCAGTCTGAAGTACATTCAAATGAGGAGAATTATTTCACAGCAGTGCTGGTGCAAATGATGGTAAGCAAAACATCAAAACAAGTGACGCAAACACAAAATACACACGTGTTTCTTAAAGTTCCTATCCAGAGCGGGTTAGTGTTGGAAAAACGTGCAGCCATTTGTCTGCTGTGAGCAGAGACACATTTAGACGTTCCTTGATCTTCCTCTGCAGAGTATATGGAATTTTTATTGGACTGAGTTCACAGAGTCAAGCACATACTGTACATCAGAGACGATTGCATTTCCTCCCTCCTTCTCTCTGTCCTCGTCATCACGTGAAGGATAGAAGGGGGGAGTTTTTTTTCTGCACGTGCCTTTTTATATTTAATTAGTTTGTCATTGCAAGTGAGGCATCCAGGCTACAGCAACGACACAACAACTCAATTTTCCTGCTGCAGGCCCCTGGAGATTTCTCCGTGAGTGTTCGTAGACATAGTACATATGGCTTTGCTCCGGCGTGTTGTATGCGTGCCGTGCATGTGTGTGGCCTACTTTCTACATGTCGTTCCACATCTAAGCTGTAGGAGTGTGCCTGCGAATGTAAGCGTGTGTGTGCAGCTATTGTGTGACACCAAGTTACACAGAGTTGGAGGAAAATTATTATAGTGCCTCCTGTTTCCCTATAAGTGTGTGCATGTGTATATGTGCACACGTGGGCTCTAGTTTTCAACATACAGTGTGTCAGGAGGACAGACATGTTGTGACTGTTCACAGATTATATATTTATAAATGATAAGTTCATTCAACACTGCATGTTCTCTCTCAGTAGACGAGTCATGCATCTCATTATAAAGGAGGTCATCAGTTTTTAAACTTCAAACAAATACAATTTAAATCTGATTAGGCACAGGGTGTGGTGGATTAATTACAATTAATCATGAATAATTGAGATGGATGAACTCTTTGCACTTTGCTAAAAGCCCTCAATAATACTAGTTGGTCTACAGTCCATTAAAAACCATTGGAAACCTATTGTACTTACTGCCCTTGGTTTGTTGAATGCATAAATGCTGGGCATCAGACTTATACCTGAAGCCTCCACAAAAGCATGCCGGACTTATGGGAGGTGTTTTAATCTTGATGTGCTTCAGTGAAACAAAAACTGTTTCCCGCCGTGTGTGTAAGTAAAACCATGTATTGATTGTGTATAAAAGCAACAATGAGTGGATGGATGGTGGAATTATTGGTACAGTGTACTTTCATTCTACCCCTGTGTAAAATATTTTAATCTATATTAAGTCGATACACTGACAGACTGACAGATGGACAGCACTGCACTGACTAACACTGTGAAGGACAACGGCTTCACTGATGTTTTCAAAACAACTATAAATGTCGCTGCCGTGTTTCTATCTTGTTGGCTCGGTTTTACGGTGTGTTAGCAGTAGAGTGTTAACATACCTTTTGTTTTTGTTTATATTAGCAGTCCACATGACTTTTACACATTTTTAATACAATCAAGGTTATTGTGCTGAATATTTAATTATTTTAAACACAATACTCCCAGTCTGAATAAGATCAGTGAAATGTGCTGGTAACAGATGAGAGATTTAATTGTAATGTCTATAATTCATCCAGCTCTCTGTTTAAAACACGTGGAAAATATGCCAGAAGCCTTTATTTGTTTAGCGTTGTCTTCCATCATTGACAGAGTTAAGTATGTATTGTTGACAGTGACGGTTCAAAATATCTTTAAGACGTTCCTGTTGAAAAAGGCAGGTCTAGTCTGTCACATACATTTTGCTGATGTAGTGCCAGGTCCCTGCTGTTCCTGCAAACTGTCCTTATATATTTCTCTCTTCAGTCGCACTTTTATATCCCTGGCTTCTTATGTCCAGAAACACAGTGTCTCTCAGTCTCTCTTGCAGCCTGTTTTCAGTTTCTGTGCCTGTCAGTAAGTGGAGAATTGGACCATGTTGACAGTCCTCTATCACACAGTCACACTGTGATCTTTAAGAACTGTAGAATGACGTGGGATTCCTGCAACAATCATGTGTCTCACATTAAAAAGGCCTGATAATAATGTGACTTTTTTTTTTGCTTTTGTGTCTGAGGTTTGATGTGTTCTCTTCGTCTTTCTGTAGGGCAGCCAGAGCCTTCGGAGATTACCTGTCCAGTACAAACACAGACAACAACAACGGAGCAGGTAAGACAAAGACAATAAAAGAGTTCATGCTTGTGACCTTAATTTAGACACTGTTGTTGGTCAGCAACGGAATTATGAGTTTTTCATGTGTTAAACAATCCTATAAAGATACCCCCAAATGTAGAGCTGTGTTATATCTCATCCTTATTTTTCTTGAGCAACTATCACTCTGCAACAAGCCTGTCCTACCCTGAGAACAAGTGAAAGATCATAACATTTTATTTGTTTGCTGACCGAGGTTTAGTTACCAGTGAAACATGTCATATCCTGTTTTATAGTTCTGTCTGTGAGAAAATGTTTTTTAAGCTTCATTTTGTTTAAATCCCTTTATCCCTGAAGCAACTCTGCTTTATTGACTGTGATCGTCCAAAGATCGTTACTGATCACAACAACAATTTTTTGGGATGTAAAAAGGTCAAGTGCAGACCTATGTCCTTCTTCTGCTCAAAAGTATGTTGTCTCTGGATAAATAGGTCAAGCAGACAGTCTTTTAAATCAATGTTCTCAGTACACTTGTTAGTGCAGGTGTGTTAAAACTCCACGGCTGATGTGGGATTGATTTTCATGGTATATGTTTCCCCTGTGACAGCCATGCCTTCACTGGGAAAACTGTAAAAACATGTTATGTCAGTGGTTGGATGTTTTAATACTGTACTTTAAATTAAAAAAAAAGAGTTCACCCTGGATGTGGTGCCAGTCTTTGACTTTGACTTTATCACTCCATGATTATTTTTCCATTTTAACAGTTTTCGGTGTCAAGCTCTTGATTCTGTCCTTGTGAAAAAATTGTTTCTTGGCCATAATCCTTAAGAGGGTCAACACTCGGGTGCTCAGGCGTGTCCTTAGGGAACCTCTTCTGTTACGAAGAAAATAGTTCTCTTTCTGTTATGCCAGAGTTGTACAGTCAATTTTATGAAACTATTTTAGTTAGAAAACTGTCAGAAGAGTCAAAATGTTATTTAATTGAATTTAAAGAACAATATCTTTTTACATAAAACAAAAAATATTGTTTATTTAGAGATTTAAAAAAAAGTTGTAAAGTTTGTTAGTACCTCTGTTGAATATGCATTCTATCTTTTTCATTTTCTCTTTCTTTCAATTCTTCAGATCAATTGTTATCTGACACATTTTCTGGTCAGGACATTGAATCTCCAGACGTTAGCCGTTTGCACAACAACAATCTGCCGCCTCAGAACCGACCTCTACCTGCAGAAAAGCCCACCGAGTCTTCTTGCCTCTGTGCTTCAGCTCAAGCTCAGGTTCTGGGCATCGGCCTGCAGGTCTCAGCTGCTGTTGGTCCCGCCAAACATCACCTCTCAGTGGAGCATAGCCTCTCTGCAGAAAACCCACCTCTTACCAAGGGCCTGGAGGGAAGTGTTGCACTGAAGCCCCCCAGGGTTTACACAATCTCCAGAGAAGGAGCGATGACCCTGGGTGGACGTGGCAGTGAGGAGAGCCTGGAGCTGGAGGTGATGAGGAGCTCAACCAGGGAGCAGACTCTCTCTCAGTCCAACACCAACGACCATGTACAACCTTCTTGTACCAGCCAACCGTCCTCCTCAGCTGCTCGGGTCAGCCATCATCGTAGCAGCCACCACCGCAGCAGCAGCAGCAGTCACCACCACAGCCACCAGCACAGTGCAGGAACGATGTCCACATCGCAGCCGCTGCAGAGTTCAGGCAGCACCAACAGTGTACGAGAATGGGGGGTGAGGAGGGGTGGGTCCAGGGAGGATTACATCCCAGACTGTGTAGCCTGCATAAGGGTCCCCTGTCAAAGTCAACGCTCGCTGGACCTGGAACTGTCAGCGAGAAGTGGAGAAAAGCCAAAGAAAAAACTGGAGAGAATGAGCAGTGAGGAGAGAGCACTGACGGACCATGGTGTGACATTCATCTTTTATAAGAAGAGAGTTGTTATTTTTTACCACTAAAATAAGATACAGAGTTTTTTTTTAATACATAAAAATAATCCTGAATACATTTAAGCAAGTCTTTGGCTAATATTTAGCTACTTCTGAAACCTCTAGTTATTTACATTTATTTTTGCTGTTTTATATATATTTTCTGTGTTTACATTTAGTTTAACATTGAGTTTATTTAAGATTTCACCTCCTACAGAGTGGCTTCTTAAAAAAAACTTTAGGGCATCTTTCTTTTTAACTTTCATTTTTAATTTAAATCAACATCAAGTTTTCCTCTAATCATTCATTGGCCTCTTCCTCCTCTGCATATAAAAACCACTGCCTCCCTCGTTTTGTTTCTGGTTGCAGATGAGACACCTAATAACTGGTTTCCTAAAGAGAACATGTTCAGCTTTCAGACAGCCACCACCACCATGCAGGCGTAAGTATGGCCTGGAAAACCCACCTTCACTCCCACGACTGGATCAGGAAGGAAAAGCCTCAGCCTTGTTAGTGTGTCATTCTGCTTCACAATCACCACATTCACATTTTGTTTGAATGTTGATTTCACTAGTGGAGAAGGCTAGCAGTCAAGGCTAGCAGTCAAGGCTAGCAGTCAAGGCTAGCAGTCAAGGCTCGCAGTCAAAAACATGTAGATTAGTACCAAGTTTAGAGGCACACTCTGAATTGACCATATTATTTAATCATTGTAATCAGAGGATGATTGGATAATGAGAGGGTTGAGAAGTTCACAGTTTAATATTGACCAGTAGGGGTCATGCAACCTTTATGTTTATCCCCACACTGTTACAGGTTCCAATGATTAGACTGTGTACAAATATCTTTGTCCCCACAGTGTGATATAAACCAGAAAAGCACACACACACACACACACACACACACACACACACAGGGACTTGTTAATTATCACATTTCACACAGATCTCTTAATTATTACCCACAGGCAGTCAGAGTTCTCCCTCCCTTCTCCTATCCTTGTTCTCTATCCCTCCTCCTTCATCCTTTCTTATGTACTTTTTCATATATTAGCAACTCATATTTCCCATCCATTTCTAGCTGTCGGCCTATCACCATCAGAGTCAGACCGATGGATAGTCCTGACACCTGCATTCCATTATAAATGCTGGCCAATCAGTGTCCTCCGCCTCAGACGTTATTTCTCTTTTCTTATCTGAGGTTAATCAAACAATTCTCTGCTCTCTTGCTTGTTTGTAATAACTGCATCACTGACACTTCTATTGCTATGGACCAGTGGTTCTTCACCTTGTTGGAGGTTCTGAACCCCACTAGTTTTATGTGCGCATTCACCGAACCCTTCAGTGATGGCTAAGAGGCGGGCATGTCATAACGAATCATATGACTCAGGTGTGTGTCTGGTCCTCCAAACCCCTGAGTCTGACTCACTGAACCCCTGGGGTTTAATCGAACCCAGGTTAAGAACTACTGCTATTGATATTTACCTACATGTAAAATTATAAATATGCAAGTCTTTAATGATAATGTGTTTTCATTAAATGTGATTTATTTATCAGTATAATTTCCATTCTGCTGCTAACATTTCTTCTTCTTTTTTTCTCCTCTTGTGGACATCTTTCAAATCTGACACTGAAGAATATCGTAAGTACATTTTAATTATTTTCCTTTTCTCCAGTGATTTCCATCGTTGCACTTCTTTCAAATCTTCTCTGTCAGTCAGTTATGCAGAACTGTGTTCAGTTCTTCTCTCACACTCCTACTCATGTCCTACTCTGTCCTGTATGACCGTACAACGTGTAAACTGCCATAATTGTCAGATTCTCAAGTTTCCAATGGAACCTTACGTGATTGATGCGACAAATATAATAATTAATGAATAGTGAATAAAAGTAAGAAACATATTCTAAAAGTTGATGTTTCTTTACATATTTTGTAGCATTGTCTGTGGTTCCCTGGCTACATAATACAAACCCATTATTATGGTCTGGAGTTAAGCCACCTTTACAATGAAAAACCACAAAGTCCAGCTAAAAGCAGAAACCATCATCTTTGTGTGTGATTCACATTTTCTTCACAAACTGGAAACAACCTCCCTGAACGAAGGTGTTAGTGCAAAAAAACTGTGGTTCTGTTCCTCATCTGTCTGTGTCCCGGTCAGTCCAAGTCTCCCTGTGTGACAAACACTGTCAGTCGTGATTCTCATTATGTCTGACGCCCTGTCCAAAACATTACTGTCCCCCCTGGGAGAAGAATATCATCACTGATGATCATGCATGCTGACAGGGAGGCAAACAATCAACATCAGAACTGTCACATGGTTTGGCAGCTGTCCTTCTTAATGATCAGTTGCGCAATAATGGACATTCCAAGGGTGCAGCCGGCTTTTTGATAGAGCACAGTGAAAGACATCGGAGATGAACAGCATTATATTACCCATATTCTGACACTGTATTGTTTTGATCCAGGACAGACAGCCTGGACAATGCACTGGACATTGAAGCTAAAGAGCGCTCTTAGAGGTTAGGGATAAGTGTCTGTCACGGCCACACTTGCTGCAAGAGCTGCCACTTTTACCAAAGTGATGGCAATGAATGTGTGTCATTGTTGACTATTCTGGACTAAATGTGGGCACAGACCTGCAGAGACCTGCAGAAAGACTATCCTGTTTAGGAAGTGTACTTTCTGTTCTGAATGTGGAGAACTTTGTATGTGCTAATAATCGTAGTAATCGTAGTTAGTAGTAGTTAGGGACGGCTCTGTGGTTTTTGTCGGTCTTTTCTTGCAGTGTGGTCGAGGTTTGTGTGTGTGTTACTGTGTGGTGAGTGTGTAACACTGTGACGTATCGTGACTTTGCTTCCAAACTAACCTTGCACTGACCACCTCAATAGGCACCACTGTACTGTTGTACGTGTGACCAGGACTTGACATCTATTTCCCATCCTGATGACACTCAAAGAACCAAAGATGGGTCAGTATTTTATTTAGCCAAGTAAACAGTAACCATTACATGTTGGAAAAAACCAAGGACTTCACTTAAAACCGAGGTTCTCCAACCATAGGGGGCTCCAAATGTGGGCAGTGGGTTATCAGGAACCAAGATGCAAATACAGAAACCCATTTTTTTAATCACATTTTATAGTGTCAGTACAAAAGATTCATTCATTTGAAAAGGCCTATCTCTTTAACAATTACCAACACCTCCTAACAAAGTCCTGTCCCGATGCTTATCAAAATAAAAGTCATAAAGAGTGAGAACACCCACAGAACTGATTTACTGAGACAGTTTACACCCCACCCCCCACCCCTGCCCCACAAACCCACTAAATACTGTGACATCCTGGCAGGGCTTTCCGAGGAATTGCTGAGAGAAAGAGACGGAAAAGAGAGCAGGAAGCAGCCACCACGATGGAGAGGTATGCTGTCCTGGCCGTGCTGTGCTGTCCTGTGTTCTCCAATCCTGTCCTGCTAATACCTTCCCCTGTCACACTGTTAAATAAAACAAAAGATCCTGCTTTTCCTTTCTCGGTTGCACCAAACAGACACTGCAGCTAAAACAGTAATAAACTGATGGGATGAGCAAGACAACTGCTAGGACTGTCGTCAGGGACAACAAAGACAGGGTGAGAGATGGATGTGGAGGATGAGCACCACTCAGGTGGTGAAGCTGATCTGAAGAAGGTGTGAAGAGCAGAGGGTTGTATTCCGTGGAGAGCAAGCACAAAGGGTGAGATGATGGAGAGCAGGTGCCGTGATGAGAAAGTGAGAAGGTTCTAGATCTCCAGAGAAGTTACTCATATATACTGAAATATTCTTGCTCTAAGTCTGACAGAAGAAAAGTTCTGTCCATGGAATCCACCTGATTCTGAGTCTGTGTTGTTTTGCTCAGTATTTAATTCAAACATATGTGACGGACCTGTTACTGTTATTACAACAGCAGCACCTTTGTTTAGCCAATGTGTCCATTTTCCCATTTAACATCCTGTTGTGAACTCCACAAAGCCGATTAAAATAATGAAAGATGGATTGTTTTATTTTTTTTTAAAGCAGAGCCAAGTAATAATTTACCTGTGCTCTACAGTATGTAGAGACTACAAGCACACACACAGACTCACTGGGGTGTGTGAGTGTAACAACAGAGGTCAAGTCTGATTTGATGGTGGAAGCTTGGCCTGATGCCAGTTATTGATTCTTCCACATTTGAGCTACAGCTTTTTATTGATGAACTTTTCTACAGCGTGTCAGGATTGAGTGAGAAACACTGATTAAAGCTGCCAAACCACAGCCTTCAGGATTCACCACACATGCGCGCGCACACACACACACACACACACATGCACGCACGTGAGCAACTGTTGTAGAACTTATTTGGCTGCAGTGTCTTTGTTTCACCAATAATGCAATCGTGTTGATCTTAGAGGTGGAGGAAAATCCAAATGAGTCAGCAGAACATACGTGTCGACTCTTCTCACCTCAGTTTCAGTCAATGTCAGAAAAGCTCTAGGTTTGTCAAGGTTTGGTATTTTCCAGCAACTTCTCTCATTTTTCCAAAGTCCAATAAACAGGATCGTGTTATTTGACCAGATGTGTCTGTGAATCTGTGAGCTTTTACGATTGCCCTTCTTTTTTGCTGTCACACAAGCTGCTGTCACACATTGAGTGTTAGATTGAGGGATGACTCCCCCTCCTCTGAGGCTCTCCTCTATTTCAGGCTCGGCCTCACAGCTCTCACGATCACTGCTGTGACACATTGATTTTTTTCCTGGAATGCCTTGAGAAGTGCGTCATAGTATGAAGGCATCTCCAAATGAAGAAGCACTTTTTCTTTATATTTTTTATTTTATTTTAGTACAAAACTGTGGGCATTTTTAACATGTAATATTGAGGGCCACATAATATTTTCCCTCACTGTTTGACTATTTGCAATTTTAGAATACAGTTGTGAGCTGGATTGCATGGTTCCATGGGTGAGATTTGGCCACCAGTTGGTGATCACTGCATTCCTTAAAGGCCCGCAGAGTAGTCATCGTCAACGATTTTTGCTTCTCTGTCAACCTTAACTGTGCATTTTCCAGTATTAGGACAATGTTATTATAGTACCATATTTTCTGGACTATAAGTCACACTTTTTTCATCCTTTTGCTGGGTTTGTGACTTATACTCAGGTGCGACTTATATATTAAAATATATTATTTCACAAGTTTGTTATTTTCACACTGGCAGACACTAGAGGGCACTCTAGCTGGCTGGTGTGATTCAGCTAGAACTTTGTAACGTTTGGAGCTGTACCTGAGTAGATGTTGCGTGATAGTGACGCAATAATCAAGGAGGTTGCCTGCATTCCTCATATTCACCTGGAAATGAAGGGGAAATGTAAGACAATGCTGTCCTTTAAACTCCACTCTGACTGCTCATACGAGACACAGCGAGATAAACCCCATACCAGTGGGTTTATGTTCTTAGCTGTGAAAAAGCTGTTGTTGAAACACTGTGGTTATTACAAAAGTGTTTCCATAGGCGATTATTGACCCCCACTGTTACTAAACCTGTGCTGCAGTGCGTGCTGTGTAAAGTCCACCCAGAGTAGTTTTAATCAGCTCTAAGAACAGCACCGTGTTAAGTGAAGTGTCAACAGGGCTGCTGTGGCTTCAAGTGTTGATCATCAACTAGTACCTCGAATGGGTTTTGTAATGGTTCGGGTGTTTTGATTTTCCTTTAGCACCCTACATCAGTGTTTTTTTACCTCGGGGTCGTGGCTACATGCTGGGTCATCTGAAATTGACGTAGCCTGAAATGTTTAGTAATTGATAAAAAAAAAAAACAAAACAAAAAAAAAAACCCCAATCATTATTCTTTTTTGAATTGTGATTAAAAACACCACAGACAATCTTAAAGAACTCTATTCTGATGCGTCTTGATTGACTGTTGTAACCACCTCACTGTCCAAGAGACAGCTGCTAAAATGTTGCCATAAATTTGTCAAAATGAGGTCACGAGCCAACAAATGTTGGGAACCTTTGACTTCTATGGTTATCCCTTCTGTTATCCCTAACACAGTGCCCTGGTTTGCATTAGTGCATTGAATGAAGAGTGTCTGTCTCTCTCTGTCTCTCGCTGTCTATGTCTGTGATTTGTCTTTTTCATTAACACTACATGTTGTTCTCTCTTCTTTATTGCCTCTTTCCATTGAAATGAAAGAAATTTCCGTAAACAACTGAGGATGGTTGGCAGCCGTCGGATGAAGGTCCAGAGTAAGTCTGTCTCTGCCAAAAAAATGTGCACCTCAAACATTAACATATGACCTATTTATGTGACTTCCTTTGTTCCACCGTATCCCAACACCAGCCTTTGCTGAACGTCGAGCCAAGAGCTTCAGCCGCTCCTGGAGCGACCCCACCCCTGTCAAACCTGACTCCCTGCACGACTCCAGAGACAGTGAGTCTCTGTTTACACGACTACATGCACATCTTTTTCATGCATTTATCATGAACATGTCGCACGCCTAGTGGTTACAGAATCAGACTTGTAGTTTAGTGCTTTTCAATATTTCATTTTTCTTTTCATTATTACTGATCAAATAACTATTTTCTAGCCTAAGAAGAAAAAACCCCAATAAAAAACATTATAAAATAAATAAGTTAAAAGACAATTGTATGACACATACATACAGAGGGTGGAGCTTTGGCCCAGAGGCAATGTCTCTGTCATTGGTGTGAAACCCCAGGGTTCACCTCCTGGGCAAGTTCGAATCCCGGTTAGGGCGGTTAATACCTTCCAGTGGATTCACCACCTGCAACCCTCAGGGGTTGGTACGGTGCAGTGTGATTTGGGTGGAGACTGCTGCCCCCGCGACCTGGTAACGGATAAGCAGATGAAAATGGATGGATGGATACATACAGGGTGTTCCAAAAAATAACCCGTATGTACGGGTAAATGAGATTTCTAAAAGTTTCGTTTTTCTATATTTTACGTTCTACGATGCCTCCTAAAGAGTTCAGAAAGAGTTAATATATTTGTAATAAATGTAATAACTATCAAGTCGCTACTTCGCGGTTTGTCGCCTAACATGGGCAGTCTTGGAACCCAACCCCCGTAATAGATGAGGCACCATGTATATTAAAAAATACCTTTTAATACAACATCATGTTTTCTGCAGTTTCCTGCTCCTTGACTATCTTCCTGATCAGACATCAACCCATGTTCAACACCTGCTGCCTTTTTACCAGCTGTTTTTGTTTTTGAATGTATTGTGGAATTGTTTGTGTCACCAAACATCTAACCCTAATATACGTGTTCATCGTACACTGTGCTGTATAAACAAAAAAACAAACGAACCAACAGGTGCAGCTCTTTTAATCCCAACAGCCCCTTGCGTAATCGTTTTTGTGTGTTGGTCTTTCATCTCAGCCCTTTGTTGTTGATTTTATGTGTGTGTGTGTATGTGTTCCAGGTGGTGATCTTCAGAGCTCCTCTGGTACCCTGGATGAAGGCCTGGATGAGGTTGATGATGATGCTGAGTGGGAGGAGGAGAGAGAGCAGGAGAGGACAGCTTGTGAGGGAGAAGACTTTGTTCCACCCAAAATCATGGCAAGTATCAGAGACCCCAGTGTGTAAAAACCTTATGTATGAACCAGTACGAAAACAGATACTGAGCCACCACCGTTGTTTTGTATTCCGCAGTTAATTTCCTCCAAAGTCCCTAAGGCGGAATATGTTCCTAACATCATCCGCAGGAATGACCCCTCCATTATTCCCATTCTTTATGTGAGTATTGACAATGATGAAAAAACAACAACAAAGGTCTGGAGCTGCAGATAAGACACAAATGAAACTGAAATTTACTGGAACATTTACCTCTCTTTTGGATTTGTATTTTTTTAAACTAAGAGAGTAAAAATAAAAAATAAAAAGACATATTTGCAAAATAAATTATTCTTCTACGGTTTAACATAACCTAGGGCTTACACTTTTTTTTACATTTTATTTATTTATTTATTTCATGATTTACTGTTTTTAAAAATATATATTTTTCTTATGCTGTTCATGTCTTTTGGAATTTATAAAAAGAAGATTCCCATTTTATTTTTAGGATCACGAACACGCCACCTTCGATGACATCCTTGGTGAGTGTGACAATAGATTTTCCTTTTTCGGAGGTGAAAATGACTCACACGGTGTAAATGTGGAAAAGAGGAGGTTGGAATATGTTTGAACATGTCAGTGAGAGGAGATGACTCATGTTTGTGTGTGTGTGTGTGTGTGTGCCCCAGAGGACATGCAGCATATGTTATGTATCTCACTCTAATGACTGAGTGAGAAGGAAAAGTGACACCTCTCTTTTTTTGTCACTCTCCATTCTCAGACGAGATCGAGAAAAAACTGAATGCCTATAGGAAAGGCTGCAGAATCTGGAACATGCTCATTTTCTGCCAGGTGAGTGATGTCTTTGAGTCTTTTTCTTCAAAAGAACTTTATACTAACTGGCTGTATTCCACAAATTTGAGTACCATTTCTGTATGCTGCTTTAGGAGAGAATACAAAACTCGATGACATATAGAAAAAAAATTAAATATCCTTCATTTAAGTAAAATTACATCTGAATTTTTCAACTTCCTGTAGCCGTGGTTCTGTCAGTAATGTTGAATGAATCTCAGCGCAGAGCTTCGTCTACGATCCTTAATCATCCTGATTAAAGTTTGGTGTCGACTTGAGAGCCAACAAAGTTGGATGTTGAATCACAGCTCTGAGAATGTTCAGTCAGTAACTGTGTAACTGTCAGTGTGAACAACAACAGAGATTTTCTTGGTTTAATTTGGTCCATTTACAGCCAGTCTGACTTTAATATAAGCAGTGGACACATTGGACCTCCTTTACTTAGAGAAAAGTAGAAATTACATGTTTACTCATTACAACATTTGAATCGTTGATATTCAAACAAACTTCAGTTCTGATTAGTGTATTACTACATTTCCTCAGGGAGGACCAGGACATCTGTACCTGCTGAAGAATAAAGTGGCAACTTTTGCCAAAGTAGAGAAGGAAGAAGATATGATCCAGTAAGACATTCAATTCAATTTTCTAAATGTGATTATTTCTTTGTCAATGTTTCATCTTGAGACTCTAAAAATGTCAGTTCCATCTGTTTGTTTTGATTTAAAAATGTTTTTAAATGTTATGTTGAACCTCTGTCTTTACCTGATTGTGCAGATTCTGGCGTCGTCTAAGCAGACTGATGAGTAAAGTGAACCCAGAACCAAATCTGATCCACATCATGGGCTGTTATGTGCTGGGCAGTGCAAATGGAGAAAAGGTAAAAACAATATTCATAGAAGTGAAGTGAACTATCAGCTACAATTGTGTGAAAGAAAAACTTACAATGAAAAGAAAATTCATAAAATGTATTAAAGCAGCAGCAGAGGGCCAGTATAGGGGGAAATTAAAAATAGTTGGAACTGGTGGGATAGATAAATGGAATAGATAGAACTGATTTAAGAAGCAGACAGCTGGCTGCGTTTATTATTCTCACCATTTGTAAAAGTGTGACATGGAAACAAAAGGACTATTTTATTGGCTGTAAAAATATTCCAAAAATAAATCTCACCTCTAACTTTGGACAAATGGACAATGAATTAGTCTATTTGTATATTCATTAATGAGGAGTTTCAGGGAGATCTGGTAGGGAGTAATGGTCGTTTTTGTTTCGATACGATACAGGTTACATCTTTAGACATATTTGTTTTATTGTTTAATTTTTTGTTTTACGAATATTTTTCTGTTACTGATAACGATATTGATACTTTGTGTGGTTTTGTTTTTAGTGGACTCACCACCCACAGGAAGGTTCAGGGGGGTTGGTAGGGTGCAGTGTGATTAGGGTGGCGATCATACAGACTGCTGCCCCCGCGACCCGGTAACGGATAAGCCGATGAAAATGGATGGATGGATGGATGGATAGGTTTTTTTTTTTTCCCCAATAAAACACGTGACAAATACTATAATATTTAATTAGTGTAAGCCTAAATTGTTTAATAGCTATCATTAAGGGACAAAGCTGTCTAGTGGACAGGTCAGTGGTCACATGACCTGAATGGATGAGTTCAATTGTACATTATTGGGGGGTGTCACAGAACAAAAGCCTGTACGTAGTTAGTGACCCTAAAAGATGTGGAAGTGACACATGTACTTTTCTCATGTATTACATAGTATTGCTACTTTATAAGAACAAGTACTTTTGTGAGTATTGATATATTGATACCATGGAATGGATACTCCATCACTGTTGGGAAGACTAACTTGTAAACGTCAAAGCAGCTAAATTAAATACTCTTGATTGGACTTTCACCATAAAGAAGCTCCTGCACTACCTCCATTATTTTATGCTTTGATAATGAATCTACAAGTCCATCTCCCAATCTCTCTCTCTCCCTCTCACACCCACCCACACATACAGTCGTTTCGTCTGAATATCCATGTGCATGGACCTGAGAACACACTAAAATATTCATACATTCACGTGCTGCTCCAGTAGAGCCATCATAGTGACATCACTGCTGTCCTACTGTCTAGGTAAATGACAGCAGTCGTTGTTGTTGTGTGAAACTCTGGAAGCTAACTTTAGGGCTAGAATGTTAGCCTAAAAGCTGAGTTGGCACATTTGCTAAATTTGTTAAACTACATTAAATTCCGGTCAGAGCCAGTCTGGCCAGAAACCATCACCTGATTCCAATCACTGGCTGGTCGATCACCACATCTCTGACATTTCAACACATATATATATAAAAGTAAGTCCTGCAGAGTTATTTCACAAGATTACTTATCAAAATCCATTTAAAAAAATCACACTTACTGCATCAACTGAAATTAGAGACACCTACAATAAAGTACACAGTTGATTCTTATCTGATGAAAGTAATACTTCATTAACCAACCCAACTGAGTGGTACTAATTAACCAAGGATGTGGAGACGAATATCCCTCCACAATTAATTGCCCTAGAATTTTTTTCAGTTCCCCGAAACACTGGGTGTTTAAACTTAAAAAAAAAACATCCTCCCATGTTACTCTGAAGCTTCTGTGAAATTTGACGTCATCTCCACAGCCAGTCAGTGGGGAGGGAAATGGAGCAGGAGGTTGGAACTGCATTTAATAATCTCCCCTGCTGCTGCTGCTGCTGATGCTGCTGCTGCTGCTGCTGCTGATGCTGCTGATGCTGTGAGCTTTTGCAGACTCAGCTGGAAATCCACTATTAATAGACCTAAGTGATCCAACCTCAGTTGATGAACATTCATGACATTACACACTGAATAACCGGATTCTCCTCACCTTTTCTATACGAACACGTATGTCTGCTCTATCTGTTCTCTACACACTGACAACCCATCTGATGGAATTCTTTATTAAAACATTAGTCTTTTACTTAACATTAGCAGTGACAGCATTAACCTCTGTCTGAGAGAAGCCAGGTTCTATTAACGTTCTAAAAGCTCGGGGAGACCCTGAGGTTGCACTCAGACTCTGACAGCATAT